TATAAATTTTATTTTATTTAAGTAACTATATTTTTATAATTTAATTTTTTTACTTTATTTTAGGTGTGCGGTTTTATTTTAGCTTTTATTTTCTCTAATTTTTTTTTTTGTTTTTATTGTTTTAGATTATTTTAATTTGTTTCGTTTTTTAAATAAAAGTTTCACTTAATTTCATATTTTATTTCTTATTTTTTTATGTTTGTAGGCCGACGTCCCGCTAAAACTTTTTTAAGCATCTTCAGGGGTAGTGTTTATTTAATCTGTGACAACAAATATATAAGGGGTATTCATCTAACATAACAAACTGTCGATAAACGTGATAAAATTATTAATTCCATACAAATTAAATGAAACAAACTAAAATAGGATGAAATAAGAAAAAAAATCAATTGAAATTTTTCTTATTTCGTTCTACATATTTTAGTTTGTTTCATTTAATTCTATTTATTTTGTGTTACTTACATTCCACCCACACTCAAACATTTTTGATACCCATCAACAACCAAATTTTGTGTTAACATGAAATTTGCGTGTCTCAAATAGTCACAACAGCGGATCAGTGGCTATAAAACCCTGACGTCTAGCTCTTATTTCAGTTTTCACCTAACACCGTTTCACACGCCGCTTAGATGGATTACCGCTTGCGGCTCGCGTTCGTTTACTCAATCGTCCTCATCTTACTTCACCTGCAGGACGCGCATGCTGGACGCAATATCGAACTGAATTCCTTTCAGCCAATGTCGGACTACGATGACTCCTGGGTATCTTGGGATACAATTCGCTTGAAGAAAATATCACGCACGGAAATGGGTGTGACAGGTGATGTGGAACTCAAGCAGAATATAGGCAATGAACAACTCGTGAGTGATTGTGTGAATTATCTATAATAGTCTATGTATAAATAGTAGGAAAAAATCTTAAACTTTTTTGATGACAGGTTTCCATGCAAGTATACAAATACGATCGCGAGAATAAACGCCGTGGTCCAATGGTGTTTCAAATTGAAAAGCCATACTGTCAACTAGTTGAAAGCCTTATGAACACCTATAATGGCATGGTGAAGAAGTCGAACTTGCCGGATCCGTTTCAGTGTCCGTTTCCAAAGGTTTGTGCTGATAGTTGTTAAGATTTTGATTAAAAAGATTTTCGGGAAAATGTTCATATGCCACTTCGTTTAAACGAAAACGCAGTTATTTTTAATTGCACTCGAAGACTTACATAGAAATGAGAAATTTAAGCAAAATGTCAATCAACAGCTACGTTCGAAGTGTTGCCAGTGTGTGCCTGAAAGAAAGAGTTACCACAAGGTGTGGGAATAAACAGAGTTTTGCATTTAGAAATTATTTAATATGCAATTTAAAAAACCGTGGACCGTTATTTGTGCCGTTTTTTTAGCTTTTAACATCAAGCAACAGCTTTCGAATTTAATATTTTGTACCAATTTTCTTACAGAATACCTACACTTGGAATGAATATGTACTCGATACCGATTTCTTAGTAAAAAATGTACCAAAAGGCGATTATATACTTTATGCACTTTTGAAAAATGGCGAAAAAGCCGTTTCGGGACTGGAATTCGAAGTGACAGTCCAGTAGATGAAGCAATATTGATTCTTAGTTTTTCTTAATTCATATCAATCGTATGCATTATATTTTTTATATACACCAATGTAGTTTATCCATAATTTAAGTCTATATTTATGTATGTACATGGTATAATTTCCTCTGCCGCTCAACTAAGTTTTTATATAATAAACCTTATATGAATTTGTTGATAACACAAAAATTCCTCTGAATATTAATTATAACAAACTGCAGAAAGCACGTCCTCTGGGCCTGTCGTCAGTTACCTTGCTTTTCCTGGCAATTATATTCAGCTGGACCTTAGAATTATTCCAGTTTAGAAAATACTTACGAAATCCCCTTTACTTTAAGTAATCCTTATATTTGGGACTGTAGATTTCTTCGGTTCATCCATCTACTTGACTGGATTGTTCCGGCATCATCTTCTCATGAAGGAGGTCCAATCAGAACACAAAATGCGTCGTTGGAAACATTTTGGCTCGCATCAAGTGCTTTAGGGCTTTCACAGTAGTATCTGATGTGCACTTTGGATCCTCCTGTTCCATAGACAATAAAGCAGACTTATATTTTTATTGTCAGCTTAAAGGGACAAAAACGTTCCCTCACTTTCTACTGTACCTCTTCTTCTGCTTTCTTGTCAAACGACTACTGGTTGGAATCGATAATTTTTGGTTTGGATAAATTTTTATTTCAGTACTTTTATCTTATCATACAGCGAACTTCTACCCAAATAAAAATTAAACTTATTTTCAAAAGTTATGCGAAATTCAAAATTTGACAATTTTCGGGACTTTGGAAAATTATTTTTTGAATATTTAAGAAACTAATTAGAGTTAAAAAAATAGTTCTATCTCGTACTTAGCACTATAAATAAAAAATATATTTAAAATATGGAAAAATAAAAATAATTACAAAATTTTGAAATTTTAAAAGACTTATAAAAATGTTTGGCTAATTTTTTTACAATACCTCCAAATGATTTTTGATTTCTTTGTTTAAAGATATTAATTTTTGAATTTTGAAAAAAAAAACATTTCTTACAAACTCTCCATGAAATTATCTTAAAAAAAGGTGTTTTACTTAAATTTATTTTTAATTTAGAGTTTCCGTTTTTTCGAATTTCGAATATACATACTTATCTTTAAAAAAACCTTCCAAAATTGCTGGCACTTTTTAGATCAGTTAGTGGTACCAAAAAAAAAAATTGTTTTTTTCTTTTAGTTAAGATTTCTTAAATTTCTAACTTCTGTAATTGTTTTTATTTTTCGATTTATTTTAGGTAAATTTTTTATAGCCTCACATAAATACCACCTTTAAAACGAGTCCCAGAAATTTTCAACTTTCGAAAAAACAATATTTGCATTCGTTGGCAGCCTATTTGCCTTGAAATAATTATCATCTAGTCTTCTGTTTTAATTTTTTCGAATAATCATACTTTCACCATCAGTAAAAACGTAGTGGTAAGGTTTTCACTTTTTACCAGCAGTTTACAATAAGGGCTTGATTTGAGACAAAGTGGTCGAACTGCTGGCTCTTATGCCTGAATCTGCAATCGCAAATACCTTGTTCTTACCTAAACAAATCTCACATTTTTTCATTCCCTAAAACATAATTTAATTCACATTAATTATTTAGTCTTATCTGCTTAACCTTTTCCATTGACGTTTATTTAATTCTACAGTTTCGCCCACGAATTATCGCAATTATCGCTTTTCTCATTGTTTGTGATAATTTTTTTGAGCTTTTTTCATAGGTATGCATATGTATATACGTATGTGCATATGTGGGAGAGTGTGTGTAAATATCTGTATTTATTTTTTTGTTTGTCCATTATTTACAGTTCATAGAAGCCCAATTAATTTGCATTCAATCCAACAATTTAATAGCCACTCGACGATATTTTTTTTTTAATTGCAGTGCCACAATACCCATGAGAGTACGTTGGCAAATATGTTCATGTGCTGTTTAATAACACATATGTATACATACTGGCAATAACATTTTACAGCTCGAATACTGAATTCACGCAAATTAATATCCACAGATAAAATATCAGCAATTAAGCACGAAAACAAACATTTCAATGAAAAAATTTAGTAAAAATAAATAAATATTTTTAAATAAATGTTCACTTGTTTACAATTTTTCACTTTCATATGTGTGTGTGCATTAGGGTGGTCCAAAAACAGTAAAGTCGGAATTGTAATGCTCTCACCCCTTCGGATTGTTCTATATCGAAAAAAAGTATACCACTATTTTTTTATTTTAAAATCAAAAAAGTTTTCCATGTATTTTTATAAGGGGAAAATAAAATTCCGACTTAACTTTTTCACATGCATTTTTGGACCACCCTAATGTGCATACATGCTTACATGCAACTGTAATATGCATATATGTGGCTTCAAGTATTACTGTCTGTATATGAGTGCCTGAAACCAATTGTCTATATTTTTACCAATTTGTGAAACACTTCAATGTACCATGTGTACCTACATACATTTGACGAGTTTCCTTTTACCTTTATTTATTGCAATAACAAGTTATGAATGCCTGAGTATATCCATAGTTATGTATGTCCGAATATATATTTATATGTAATATATGTATACATATACACACATGTAGATATATTATCGCCAAAATGTGAGTCATAAACACTTAAATGCAAAGTACCTTTTTGCGAATCATTAAAATTGTCGATATTTTTCTTCGCACATCCTTTTCTATGCTACAGGTTGGGAACGACGCACAGTGTTGCGAATGCGGCCAAAAGTACCAAATGCGATGTCAATAACTGAAAAATCTGAGTAAGCGGTTTATTCCTAATTGTCGAACTAAGATATAGCTAGAATTTTATGATAAAATTGAAAAACTTTTGAAGTTGCGAGGCGTCAGACTAAGATGAATTGACCCACTTTTTCATTTGTTTAAAAATCATAATTTTTGTCTTCACTTTTTTGCTCAATTTTACACAAATGGTAACTTATAGCATAGTTACTTGACGTGTATGACTTAAAAATGTGTGTTTTATTTACCTGTCAAAAAAGAAAAAAAAATACATTTTGAAGTAAATTTATGCCGGGAAAAATGTTAACAATGAATTAAATTAAAATTGTGAACACGAACTTTAGAAATTATTAAAAAAAAAAAAAAAATCAACTCCGATATTTTTTCATATTTTCTTTCGGTAAGGTTGCCTGATTTCAAATAATTTTTGATTTGATTTGATTCATCGAACAAATATAAAATATATTTTTTTTGTGATTTCATCCGTCCACCAAATTAGAAATAAAATTTATTTATGATTTTATTTGTGATTTGATTTGCATTGGAAAAAACTGGAGAATTTGCTTGCCTTACATAAAAAAAAAAATATTTTCTAGTTGCAAAAAAATGCTTTAGTGGGTTGTGGAATCAAATCACAAATATATTTTTTTTATTTTTTGTCCACAAATAATAAATATAAATTTTATATTATTTATGATTTGATACAACTTTTAACCCAAAAATCAATTTGAATTTTGTATCCGCGATGTGAGTAATACAAAATCACGCATGAATAGCAAAAACTCCATATAAAATGACGTAAAAGAAATGGCAAGGAAATTTTTTTGTGTAAAATTTTCTTAAGGAAGTGCGCAGTCCTCAAGAAATTTGCTACGCTTTCTATAGCGGTTTTCTAAAGCTTTTTGTGAAAAAGAGCAACAGAAATATATGCCCGTTCCACTATTTTTTGAGGGAAGAGTGAGGCAACAAGTTTTTAAATATCAGATGTCGAATATTTTTGGACACACACAAGAAATAGTGGCAATTTTTTTCTTGTCCGTTTTCTTGAGAGCTCGATACTAAGCTTGACTCGTAAAGTGGCTCTCTCTTTTCAAGCAAGCAGTCCAGACTGGTTTCTCCTAAGTTTTCGAAACTCACATAAGGGGCCATCATTTTGTAAAATGAAGAAGCAGCTCTAGTCAACGCATCAGCATTCGTTGCCCTGGGTATCCGTATGCTGTGGCATCCATAGAAGTGTAATCTTATCCCTATCCTGCAAAGCAAGCTTTTTAAAGCTTTCTGTAAATTTTACATGCATATGCGTACAGCTAACCACTTGGCCAACAAAACCTCTCCACTCCACTTTTTTCGTAGCAGCTACTGGTTTCTGCTCCAGAGCCAAAGTCCATTAGGGACTTTTTCGTGTACACACTACTAGCGTCGGAGGGGAATCCTCCCAAGACTCAAACTGCCAGTCTGTTCGGCGAGAACTGGCACACCGGAACCGCCTCCAGAGCATTAGCGCCGCAATATTTGGTACCCAAAATCAATAGTCATCAAATTGTAGTCCTATAATGGCAATCACACGGTGACAGGTAGTGGAAGTGGTCAAAGTTTATCGTTAATTGTTCTGAATCTCGTCCTTAAGTTTGCAGAAATCTCTACGAGGTTTCACCAACTGACTGCTCGGATGTTCTATGCTATAGCACCCGAACAGTAGCCCAAAGCCTCCCTTGTTCAATATCTTTCACATTTCTACACCAAATAAAAAGACCAGCGTAACGAGAGATTAGAATAGCGACCGACATCAAGTTTAATATGCCTTAATAATGTGTGTCCGCTTGCCTGAAGAGAACTTCATTTAAGCTTGAACGTCTTAGAAAGCTCCTTCCCTATTTGGACGGAGCTCTTCGGCATGGCATCGTAGAGGTATCAAGAACACTCTTAAAATAAGCAAGAAGACGTGCTTGGTGTCTATTATTTTTTGTAAATGAACGACTTCATGTGGAAATATAATTAATGGGGGAATCTAAAGGTCTGAAGCCACACTGATATTTAAGTCGCAAGACTTTTACACAGTACCAGTAGTACACGGGGTTGAATAATCATGGAGCTTAGTTAAACTGGTTTAACACTGAGGTAAAAGGATCAATCCATAATTTATCAGTATTGTGTCGTGAGTGGAGACGGCTAACTCAGTGCATCGCTTGACCAACTGAGTGCAAGCAAGACGATAATCTCATTTGTTTAGAAGTTACTCTTAATGGAGATTACTAATTTGGAAATCGGGTAATTCCTCAGAAAGAAGTTTTCCAGTTAGGTTCGCACAGGGCAATCGAAAAGAGGCGTAGGTTACCACTTATGTTCGCCGCAAAGGTCTAGACCCGGTTGCTTGATACAAATCGAGGGAAATCGAATAAAGTCAGTAGAGCTGGGCTCACCTCAGTATATAACGCGGATGGTTCAAAAGTCTTTGCAAGGGTCGCAGGGTTGGTGGGTGTACATTAGGATGGTCCAAAATAAGTAAAGTGGCAATGCACTCACCACCTAGGATTCTTCTATGCCGAAAAAACCCCGGTTTTTATATTTAGAAGTCGGTCGAGCGCGACGATGGGATAAAAAAAAAATGTTTGTGTAAAATGGTAAAAATGCTTGAAAATCAATATTTTTCGAACGAAAAACTCTCTTCAAGTGATTTCCAATAAAAATACACAACTGCTTTCCTAACCATTATTCAATATTACCCTTTTTTATAGGTCGCCCAAAAACCCAAAAACATGCAATGGGGACCCATAAAAAATTGTTAGTATTAAAAATTGTTAAAATAAACAATTGGGTATTATCATTGGAAGTCTCCTGAAGAGAAACAGAGTTCTCCGATCGAAAAATATTGATTTTGAAGAATTCTATACCATTTTTTGCGAAAACAATTTCCCCCCATTTTTTCCTATATAAATTACATTTATATCTTTTTTTGATTTAAAAAAAAAAAACAGGGTAAAGTTTTTTTCGATGTAGAACAATTCTAAGGATTGAGCGCATTAAAATTCGGATTTTACTTTTTCCACATGCCTTTTTGGACCACCCTAGTATACTAAATACTAGCGTTTCATGCCAACTAGTTTCAGGCCAGACAAACTGGCTCAACAACTAGTAATAGTGAGACTTGGAGCTACTCCTCCTAGGCCAGAAAAGTGAAACAGCCGCAATCAGCGAAATAAATTAGCAAACCAAATAAAGTGCGATGTACGACGAGAGTCAACTAGGTAAAGGAAGAAGAGGTGGGGGCATTTTAAATTCCAAACTGACTGAGTAGGGAGAAGTGGGGGCCAGCAAGGCGTTCGTAAGTGGCTTGTAGTAGTAAGTGAAAAGTTTCTTCCTCAACAGTTTGGAGGCCATTTATTGTATTGTATTTATGTATTTAACTAAGTAAAACAAAAAGCATTTACAAGTAATTCTAAAATACTCAAACTATAGGCAATTTTAGCAATCTAAAGCAAATGTTACAACAACAGCAAATACATACGAGTATAATGTAGCAGCAAGACAATCGACCAACCAGCCAGACAATACAAAACAACAAATTGTTAAGGCATTGGAAAGTTAGCGTTAAACTTCATTTTCTTCGAGTTGTTCAAAGAGTTGAGAATGAAAATGAAAAAAAAAAATAGAAATGCAGAACGAAGATAATAAAACAACAACAACAGTGTAAGCCTAGCAAATGCAGAAGAAAACTTGCAAATTCAAATAGCCGGATGCGATTGAGCGCTTTTACCCAAGTGGCTGCAGTGATAGTGGGCGAACAGGGTGAGGGTGTTGGTCGCTTTTAGCGACGATGGGTGTTGCCCAAGCACTGCAGTTGATGGTTCGATGAATTTATTACATGTATATACCATTCAAGTAATTTACAATAGAAAATTTTATAATTTCAGTGAGGGAATTGTGTGGTTGTTAGAAAATTTTCAAGTGCTTTCGGGAATTTAGTATATTTAAGTGGATTTTCTTATTGAGGAAAAATTTTAGACACGCTTTCATTTTAACGTCTTTCGAGCGAAATTCAAAAAATTTGTAAATCTAAACTTTTAATAAGTATCAAACAGAAATATGTATGAACAAATCAAAAATAAAAATCAATTTGATTATTTTGTTTACTTTAATTCAGGGACCCAAAGTGTTATTATTTGTATAATAAAAATCACAATTTAATTGTTGGGAATGGATTTTAATGTATCCGAACAAATTTAACCGTTATTTATGATTTTTATTTTTTTGCTCAGTTTTTGATCGTTATTTTTGATTTTTATTTTATCAATCATAAATATTATAACCGTGTGAATGTAGAAATATTTTTCTTTATCCCAATCACGAAAAACAATTTATTAAAATTTTTCAAAAGAAGTTTGCTGTATTGTACCAATCGTATGACTACAAAAAAAAATCGTCCCATTTCTTATTTTTTTTTTGTACCAATAGCCCAATATAAAAAATTTACCAATCGTGTGACACTGCCTTAACGGTTAAAAATTATAAAAAAAAATACAAATCCAAAATAATGATTATTGTTTTTATAGAAAAAAAAATAACAATCTCAAAGTAAAGATTGCATTTTACTGAAAAAATAAAAATCCGATTTCAAAAATTATCCTTGATCGAAAAAATTAAAAGTTTACGATTTTGCAATGATAGAAACCTTGAAATTTAGCGGTAATTTTCGGTCGCTGCTTGAATTTAAAATTTCTATTTTACTTTCAGTTTTGTTTTTATTTGTTTGTGTTCATCCTGTTCGTACGGCCACCTACCCAACGAGGCGTTCGTAATGAGGGGAATTCAAACGGTCCACAGCGGCAGCGCCCATGCCACAGCAAGGCGACCGTTACTCCCTGAGGCGGCCCAGTGTCAGGAAACGCCGCACAGTGGTTCAGCGCAATTCATTTTTTGGAGAAAATTAGAAGGAGTGGGCGTGGGGCTTAAATTTTGCATATGTAACCTCGAAGGATATAAATGAAGAAAAAAAACGAAAAAATGGGTGTTATCGGTTTATTTTAAAGCATGCCTCCCATGCAAACCTATACTCAAAAACAAATCCATAATCTCGAAGCCATAGCTGTCGTCATTCTTCCTTACCTTCCTCCCTTTTTCCTTCCCCCTTTTTCCTTACCCTTTCCCTCTCCATCTTAAGGGCATCACAATAGACAGCGTAGTCGTGTGTAAGTGGACTTCCATTTCGGAAGCAGCCTGATAACCTAACCTAAGCCAATGTTGTTTTATTTCATTTTATTTTACGTAAAATTTGGGCTTTTTGCCTTATTTATTTATTTATTTATCCTTATTTTTATTTTTAATTTTTTTTTGTTTGTTCAGTTTGTTTTTATTTAGATTTAAATTTTTTGTAGTTTTGTTATATTGTGTTAATTTTTTGTTTTGTTTTATTTTTAATTTAAATTAGCATCGTGTTTAGTTTTGTTATTTTTTGCTTGTTATTATATAGGATTTTATGTTAATCCCTTTAATTTTATTTTATGTTACTTATTTAATTTTATTTTGATATTTTTCTTTCATTGACTTTTTGTTCCCCTTGATATTTAAATTTATTTCTATTGTTTCATTTTATTTATAGTTTTATATTAATTTTAGTTTAATTTGTATTTATATAATTTTTGTTTAACTTAATTTAGTCTTAGTTTATTTTGTTTTGTTGTGCTTAATTATTTTTTCTATTTCAAAAGTTTATTTTTTCTTTTATTTTAATTTTGTTTAATATAATAATTATTTTATAAACTCAAAAAATTTTACTTCAATTTAATTAAATTTTACTTTTTATTTATTTTTTATTGTTGTTGGTTTTTTGTAAATATTCTATTTAAGAACGTTTAACTTTTTAAGATGTGCTCGTCCTGTTAGTTATTTGTTTTTTTTTGTGCCTTTATAACATGCAACAATTTTATTGAAAAATTATGTGGAAAACACCAAGAAGTCTGATAAGGATATGTGGTGATCTGCGAAATGGCAGCTATTACTTGTACCTATATTTAAATTATTGTTGTGTTCCCTACATAATTTTTTCATAAAAACGTCCTCAAGCTCAATAACATTGTTGAATATAGTTGTGATAAAGGTAAAAAAAATAAAAAAATAAATAATTAATTTGAACTATTTTTTGCCTTATTTTAATTTTATTTAATTAATTAATTTTTCAGTAATTTCTTTATTTACATATGTTACGTTGCATATATTTTTTATTTCTTAGCTGTTAATTTTTTTATTTTTATTTAAAATAATTACCATTTTTACCTGGCACTCTTTATTTTATTTCTATTAATTATACAATTATATTATTTTTTCATCTTCTTAGTTCTTAATTGGTCTTCTTTCATTTTAAATAATTTTTTACTATATTTTAATTTTTTTTTTTAATTTACATTGTTTTTAGTTTATTATTTTCACTTTACTTTTATTTTTATCGAATTGTAGATTTTTCATTTACATTTTTATTGTACTATATAATTTTTAATTTACATACATACATATGTGTATTAATATTTTTTCATTGTTTGATATTTTAGTTTAGTTTTTAAAAATTAACTTATAAATATTTTTTATATTTTATTTCATACTTTTATAACAGTTTTATTTTTATTACTAGCTTTTCAAATTCATTTGGTTACGGTGATTTTTTATCCTTGCTTTTTACTTTCTTATTGTTGTTTTGATTTTTTAGTTTTAATTAAATACAATTTTTTTAGTTCCTTGTATGAACTTTTCTTTTTTCATATTTCCTCTTTACTTTTATTCTATTGAATTTCCGTTTTTCCTTTAACCTGCCTTATTTTTTATGTGTTATATTTTTTAACAGATAAATTTTTAAATCACCTACCCTAAATTGTATCCTTTTTGCTAAAGCAACCGTATGCTTCGCCCACCGCACAGCGCCATCTGTGTGTCAACTGTAGCAGCATGTTGCTTTGCGATGTAAACAAATTACTGTCAAATCGTGAAACGCCAGCTGAAGCGCAATCAGCTGTTTTTTGCTTATTTCAGCTCGTTTACATTTGTGTTAACCTAAATTTACTGGTGTTTATATGAAATACGCTTATATTTGCCCGCCGTAATTTTACACTATTCGTTAAATTACTGTGCAATAAAAGTGAATTTGTGTTGTTAAGTGTACTAACCGTAGTGTTGTTAAAAATGTCCACCACCAGCACGGACACGTTGAAGCTCAACCAAACGGCTATGTTCGCCAAAATACGCGCCGGTTTGCCGGTGGAGCGCCAACATACGCAAAATTTGCTTGAATGCAAGGATGATATGTTATATGCATGGGATTCGGAGGAAAACTGTTTACTGGCGGTGAATTGGCGTTTGGCAGCGTTGGAGGGATTCGATGTTGTTAAATACCAGGTGAGTGAAATTGTTCTTATGCTTGAATATGCCCTCGCTAGCAGTTGCCAATTGTATGTATATGTATATATGCTTATTAAGTTTTAATTAAACTAACTAGCTAGTGTGTATTTTAAAAACTTTCGAGCTAAATTTACAAAGAGCGCTTGTGGAATGCTATATCAAAGCAAACAGTTGTCCACCAGCTGCTTCCTCAAAATATATGTGTTTATTCTTATACAATCCTGTGAGGGGACTCGAAACTTATTAAATGGAAATTAAATATCCAGCAATTACAGCTCAAAATACTCTCAATGCAATGTAAATCAACGCTGTTGCAGTTTCTACGCGGTGAAAGAATGTCTAACTAAAGAAGTTTATTACAATTTCCCGTATTTTGAAGATATTCTTTAGTTGTTGTTGTTGTTGTTGTAGCGGCTACTAAGCCCCGTTCGGGACGGTTCATCCATCATCGTTGTCGTCTATTTCAGGTAAGGGGAGGCCCAGGAAGTGTGCGACTTCCACAGGGGCTGTCCATAGGGACAGGGACGTTAGCTGAGTGGGATTCTCAGGGCATGTGAAGAGGTGCCGGGAGTCATGTGGCGACTCTCCACATGCCGGGCATTGGTTGGGCACATCCTCGTTGATTCTGCTCAGGTAGCTGTTGAGGCTGCTGCAATAGCCAGAGCGAAGTTGGGCTATTGGTGTGCGGGTCTCCCGAGGCAGACAAAGTTCTGTCCCGTCCACGTCCGGTGGTTGTGTGCCTAGAACGGCATTCACAGGGCGGAAGTCTACATAACTTGAGACTGATTCCCTGTGAATGCCGTTGAGGGCCTGTCGGTAGGTTGTCGGGTCCAGAGGTTGTTTCATATACCTCTGGACTTCGTCTGTCAGTTCGTAAAGATGCCTCCTGACGTGCCGTGGCGGGGGCTCTTCCGCGAGCAGTTGCCCGCCGGGATGGCCACGTCTGTAGCTCCCAGCGGGGAACTGCTTGCAAAGCATTAAGTTATGCTCCTTTACCGGGAGCATCTGGGCCTCGTCGTGAAGGTGATGTCGTCATCAGGAGGCATCCTGTCGCGGTACGTAATCCCGTGTTTTGGCAGGTCCGCAGCTTCATCCACTGCGTCCTGCTAGTCCCCGGCGACCATACGGGCGCTGCGTAGTTCAGAACCGGCCGGCCATTTGCCCTGTATGTTGCCAACAACGTTTCTTTATCTTTGCCCCAAGTGCTGCCAGCCAGCGACTTGAGGACATTGTTGCGGCTCTGTACTTTGTTGACAATTGCGGTTGTATGCGCCGAGAAGGAGAGCAGACTGTCGAAGGTAACTCCGAGGATTTTCGGGTTATTCACCGTCGGTATTGTTACGTCATCGACGTGAATACCCAGTGGCAGTCTGACCTCCTTCGTCCAGGTGGTGAAAAGGGTTGCCGAGGATTTCGCATGGGATAGGGCTAGGCTCCTTGCAGTGAAGAAGCAAGAAAGTTCGGAGAGGTAACCGTTTACTTTTGAGCACAAGTCATCAATTCCATTCCCAGACGCCATGATCGAACAATCGTCAGCATATGAGACTATATTAACACCCTCTGGTGGCTGAGGAAGCTTTGATATGTAATAATTAAACAGTAGCGGGGACAGGACACCACCCTGTGGTACCCCCTGTTTAATTTTACGTGGCTTGCTGGTTTTGTCTCTGAAGATTACTGACGAGTGTCGACCACTCAGGTAATTCGCCGACCACCGTTTGAGTCCCTGTGGGAGTGAGGAGGCCTCTATATCTTCTAGTAGCGTTGAATGACTGACAGTGTCGAACGCCTTGGACAGGTCCAACGCTACTAGAATAGTTCTCTCACAGGGGCGGTTTCGGTTTAGGCCACGAGTTACCTGAGTGTTTATGGCGTTAAGTGCTGTTGTTGTACTATGCACTTTACGGAACCCATGTTGATGCTTCGCTGGGGTCAGGTGGTTCGTGATGTACGGGAGCAGCAGGGCCTCGAGTGTCTTCGCTACCGGGGAAAGGAGAGTTATCGGGCGATAAGACTCTCCTTTGTTGGCTGGTTTCCCCGGTTTGAGCAGTGGGACCACTCTCCCCATTTTCCAGATGTCTGGAATGACGAGAGTGGTCATAGACAGGTTGAGGACCTCCGTTAGGTATGCTACTCCGCCGGACCCAAATTTTTCAGCATCAACATGCATATTCCGTCGGGTCCAATGGCTTTGGAGGCTTTCGCCTTCCCGATGGCTACCCTTACCTCACCGCTGGTGAAAACAAGAGGCGCACTAGGTTTTGGCATTTTGTGCAAGCTTCTGGTCACTCGACGTTTAGCTTTATCCACCGGAGGATGCATAATGAACTGCCGGCTAAAATAGCTCGCGCATCTCTCCGGGTCCGACGAAGCGTGGTCACCAAAGTCTATCTCGACTCTGTCGTCGCGCTTCGTCGGGTTGGACAACGACCTCACGGTTGACCAAAGCTTGCTCACACCAGAGGCGAAGTTGCAGGTCTTCAGATGCTCTTCCCATTTCTTCCGCTTATGTACGTTCACAAGTTGCCGAATCTCCGAATTGAGATCCCTAATACGGGGATTTCCGGGATCGGCCTGACGAAGGTTGTCGCGCTCATCAGCTAGAACAGCCGCTTCGGCAGGAAAATTCGGACGTGGATCCTTAATACATCCTGCTGGAATAAAGCGAGCTGCAGCAGCGGTGACAACCCTGCGGAACTTACGCTCACCTACATGAACGTCGGTTGGTATGGGTAGTGCAGTGAAGGCGCCCTCAGTAACATCCGTGAAGCCTTTCCAGTCAGCTTTGGTAAAGTTGATATAGGTCCGGTGATCCACGGAAGCAAAGTCGGCAGGTTTATCAATCGAGATGACTATGGGCAGATGGTCTGATGCTAGAGTCAGCATAGGTCACCATGATACGCTGTTTATCAGACCAGCGCTGACAATTGTTAGATCTGGCGAGTTGCAGCAGCTGCCCATAATCCTGGTGGGTGCTTCGTCGTTCATTGTGCAGAATGTCGAATCGTCTATCTGCTCAGCCAGATGTATTCCCCTACGATCATTTGACAGGCTTGAGTGCCAGAGATCGTGGTGCGCGTTGAAGTCACCAACTACCATACGGTTTTCACCTCTGAGTAGCGCACCTATTTCAGGGTGATATCCTGCCGGGCAGCTGGTGACAGGGGGTATGTATACGTTAAATATTTCGAGCTCAACATCGCCTGTCCGGATAGCAATACCCTGACATTCTAGGATGGTATCCCTGCGGTCGATGTCTGCTTCAATGAGATGATACTGCACGGTGTGGTGCGTGATGAACGCTAAACCTCCACCATTATCTCGCTCGCGATCTCGACGGTGCACGTTGTATCCGGCGCAATTCAACAGGGTTGAATTGCCGTGCAACTTCGTCTCTTGGACCGCAGCTATTAATATTCCATGCCTTCCCATAAAGACAGTTATCTCCTCGATCTTGCTCTGGAGTCCGTTACAGTTAAATTGTAGCACCTTTGTGTGCCTTGGGAGACCGATTGTGATGTGTGGTGTTAGAGAGTTGTGTTGCCTGCCGGCCCCCTGCTGTACGTGCTGCAGAAGCGGGTGCTGCCTTGTGGTGGTGGTTGGCGGCGTCGCGGGGGAGGGATGCGACGGGGCAGCACAGAAGGGGCCCACATAGCGGCTCGTCCAATCTCGTGTGTTGCGAATTGCTGAGCACGCCCTAAAGTGGCACCAGCCGAGGCAAGAGTTGCACTTGACTGATGTCACGTTACGGTATATTCTTGACTGACAGACAGAGCAGATTGTCGGAGGGACTAGGAGTTGCCGGCGGCGGTGTGTGGGTGCTATTGTGTTTGTTTGTGTGCTTATTGCTATGTTGTGTTGGGGTGTGGGTGTGTTGATTGTGTGCTGTCCAGGCGGGTGGTGGTTTGCCGTGGAGGCGGTCCGGTTCGCACAGCATGGGGCCACGAACGACGTGGTCCATTGCCGGTGCGTACGCAGGCCCGAGCAGTTACGAAGGTGACTCCACCCGTCACAGGCATTGCACCTGACCGAAGTGGAGTTTGTATGCAGTCGTCTCTGGCATACGCAGCAGGTGTAGATTTCTGGCCCTGGGTTTGACTCTATGCCAGCCCTGAGCAGAAGGGTGCGGAGAAGGTGTAGCCCTGGGATCGAGCAACGTTTGATGGATTTCGCCGACCTAAACGGGGTTAGATCGCCGAAACAACAGCCCTTGGTCGGGTAAAACCCGAGTCATTCCGGTACGTAGAACCGGCTTCTAAGAATATTCTTTAGTTGTTCATATTGCGTTCTTTTAATAGCAGAATTGCAGTACATATATATTTGGTAGGCTCTCAGACATCGTCGCTACAGGTAAGGATCAGATGGGAGCAAGCCTATCCCCTATATTAAACTACTTCCTTCTTAGTCCCACTAGTAAAACCTAAGGAAGCACTTATCTCCAGCGCGATGAAGCTTCTACAATTAGGTGAACATCGGCATTGAAAGCCATTACCATTCAGATAAGTGACGGTCTGCAACAGCGACGATTTTATAATCGGCCTGTGCTAATAGCGGTTTATCTGTCGGTGGTATTTGACACAGTTAACCATGCGACCCTTCGCCGATATATGTTGTTGTTGTTGTTGTAGCGGCTACAACAACCCTGCCCAGATCGGTTGGTATCTCAGTCAGGACAAAGCCGTTAGGGTTGTCAGGTTTTCCGGGCATGCGAAGAGATGTTTTGAGTCATGTGGGGTCTCTCCGCAGCCGGACACTCATTTGGCACATCCTCATTCAATCTACTCAGGTAACCTGCTGCAGTAGCCTGAGCGGAGTTGGGCTATTGTCGTTCGTGTCTCCCGAGGCAGATGAAGCTCCGTCTCGTCTATGTCCGGAGGCGGTACGCCTAGAACAGTCGGTAAGCTGACGGGTCCAGAGTTTGCTTGATGAACCTCTGGACTTCGTCCGTCAGTTCATATAGATGCCTCCTGACGTGCCTAGGCGAGGGCTCCTGTGCA